GCTGTCCTTCTTTTTCTTAAGACGGCGCCTCTTGGTGGAATCGCCCTTGAAGTGCGTTTGGGCGTCTGAAGTGTGGACAGCGGCCTGTGGTTCAGAATGCTTGGATTTAGGAGCAGAAGCAGGGGACATGAAAGAGGAATCCTTACGTCCTGGTGGATTCTCTTTCACAGACAGCTTTCGAGACGGTTCTCCGGCGTCATTCGGAGTTGGTTGACTGGACTTCTTTGTGAGCTTAGAGAAAGAATGAGACTCCTTAACCTTCTGCTTCAAAGAGGGAACCCGCGAGTCGGACGGACTTATCACCGCCTTTTTGTCGGAAGCACTTGCTCCGCACACTTTATCACCAAGCTCCTTTGGCTTTGGTTTAGCAGAGGCCAGCCTTGGTGATTTTGGTGGATGAGAAAAGGTGGTGTTTGGCAACTTTCGCTTCGAGCCTAATTCCATAAACAGCGAGCTGACATCCCTACTTCCAATTTGGGATGTCATAGGACCACGTTCCTTGGACTTGGCCTCATTAGAAGACTGGCCTGAACCGAGTTTCTTGTCGGTCTTCTTATTGGTTTGGATTATCTGTGTGGCTTGGGGCGTAAAGAAGTCCTTCAAGTGCAGGCCGAGCGTCTCTTTAGAATTAGGTTGTGTCTTCGGAACAGTGGTGGGGATATCCTTTTTAGGGGTTGGCTTAGCTTTAGCCATAAGATTTACTGTGACAGGTTTGAGAACCGCTCGAGGTGATGTGGCAATGGACGATGGGGGCTCTGATGCAGCCGTGGAAACAGAGGTCACACTTTGAGACGGGGTAGAGAAACATGACTTAGGAATGGGCGGAATGTGAGAATTTTCCGAGTATCGGGATGGTAAAGGGGAGGCTACGGATACATTAGGTTGTGCAGTGGAGAGTGTTGAAACGGTATCCTGAGAAACAGTGATAGAGGTTGGGAACGTAGATCTCTCAATGTCCATGGACCTGATGCTGACGACAGGATATTCACTGCTAGTCAGTTGAAAACTATTACTCGAGGGGACAGAAAACTCGGAATGAGAGGTACAGACGGGGGGCTTGCTTGAGAGCATACTCTTAACAAACTCTGAGGTGTCTGCAGGACGGTTACTCAGGCTGCCAGAAGACGATATGGGAGATGTCGACTGAACGAACGGAGGGATAGAAGAAACTTTGTGGAAGGGGCTTGGGGGAGAGAGGAGAGGGGAAGGTGTGGGCTTATCAGACCCCACAGACTCTGCAGTGGTGCCGTGTGAAGCAAAGACACCACTCTTGCGCCTGAGTCTAAATTTACTGTAATCCACAGTTGGCCTCAACTTTTCGGAGTGCCTCAGTTTAGCATCCAGAAGTCGTATCCGTTCGTCCAAGGAGGAGTCCGTAGCGTCTGTGTGAAGGAACGAGTCCTGCTCAGAATCACTGAGTGACAGATTGTCGGTCTCAGAAATGGAAGAGCGGGGCTTCTGGGGAGAAATTAACGGTTTTTCGGTCGGTCCAGTGAGCTGCTGCAATCCATCCTTACCACTAGTTTCAACCCACAGAGGACGATAGGTAGCAGAGGCAGACTTGGGTTCTTGTACCGACGCGGACAAACGGGGATCACGATTGCCCTGAAACAATGCACTATCAAACGAAGACAATCGCGCTCTTGAGTACATTGGGAGATCGGATTCAATGGTTGATGCTCTTCCGTGCTCCCACTGCGGCGGTGATGCTATAGATCCGTAAGGCGGCGAGGCTGGCGTTGGAGCGAATACCTGAATAGCAGGACTAGATCCTGTGTTGGAGAGCTTTCCACTGTGTGGGAAATTCAGATGAGTGTGATCACGCGGAACGGGAATGGGTGGTGGTGGTGGTGGCGGCGGCAGGGGTGATAACATTTCTGAACTCTGGCCCATGGGCGAGAAAAGAACGTCGCCAGGATCGCTGCTACTGCTGTGACCAGCACTACCGCTGGCGGCAGAATACAGAACGGAGAAATCCCGCTTAGGAAGCCGGTCGACTTGAAGGGAATCCTTCGCGTCTATAGATCCTCCGACGCATGGCTGGCTGTAGGTAACAGTTGTTCCATTGTAGGTTGATGTCAGACCACTGTACGGATCGCTGGGATTTTT